CATGTACAATTGGAGGCAGAGTGCGAGAGCGAGGTGGAAGCCACGGCGGGTGAAGGCAGTGAACAATCTCCGGACCCGGGCTTACCGAGCGAGAGGTGAGAGACGTCAAGACCGGGTGCTAGTGATGAATGCCAGATACTACGGGGTCTCGTCTACGATGTCCATCACTTTCAAGGTTGTGTAACCCTCTTGGCAGAGCTCTGCCGTGTGTCGACAGCACAATGGTGGTATGGTGATCCTTGCAAGCCGGCTCACAAAGGGACATTGCGAGACGTTAGTCCGTACACATATAGCGACGTGCGGGGTATGCAGGTGGTAATAATATGTCGAGGCAACAAGGAACAAGGAGACTCCATCTCTCCATACCTCTCGAGTCTCAAACACTCGGCGCAGACACACAAGACAGAGGACAGAGAGGAGAGTCGACGAGGCCGGCCACCAGTGAAGGGGTGGAGGATGACGATGGCAGACGCGGTCGACACGTGATGACGGGGTCGTCGGTGCCACGGGCCTATGGGGCACGTCTCGGACTGCGACAGAGTGACGGCAATGCTGCGTAGTTGATCGTATGAGTATTACTCGTGCTCGCACAGGTCGACTCACCTACATGGCCTGCACGTATATCACTAGATATTACTAGACATTACTGCTCGTAGACGGCGGTCCTGAGCTTCAACTTGACTGTCGGCACCCCAAGTCAAGATCCAGATATATGGGCCACCCCCCCCCCCCCCCCCCCGGTCGATCCGGCAGCAGCAGCATCAGCAGCATCAGCAGACTTTCAGTGCTCTGGGTATGATGGTGATGATGATGATGACGAAGATGAAATCAGCAGATGAGTAACGGCAATAAACCTTACGACCTGTTATTATTACAGCATACCAAGGGTCTACTATACAGTGTCTGAATTCTCCTTAAACAGGCCAGAAGAGACATCTGAACAAGGGGGGTGGTGTTGGGGGTGTGTGGTCGGATAATGAATGACCAGGGTCAGAGATGAGACTGTCATGTCAGTCTTGATATTATTACATGTGCAAACATGATTTTTTTTTTTTTTTTTAAAAAAGAAGTTATCTTGATAAAGGGATTTATATATATTTCTTCTTTATTTTAGAAAGAAATAAAAAGAATGACAATACTCGTAACCTCTTCGTAACAACTCCGTGCATGATTCTTTCTATTCTTCTTTCGGGGAGGGGGATGATTGAATCAGCTACCTCAATATAGAGATTGCGCGTGTATGCGGGTGCGAGGGAAGGTGTGGGTGGGTGGTTCCTATCCGATGCCTGCCCTTGTATTTTTTTGGTGTTTTTATTTTTGTGTTTGTTTTTTTCTTGCATATTGTGTACAAGAGTAAGAGTGAATCAGTGCTAGTACTAGAAGTAATCACAAAGGAAGAGAAAAAAAAGACTGTCCTATGGGAATGACGCCGTATTGTACGCGGTAGGGCGGGGGAGGGGAATGTTATGACCGTGGTCTTGCGTGTAGAGAATAACTTTTGATAGTACGGACAGAGTAGTGGATGGATGAGAAGAGAAAAAGAAGAGAAAAAGAAAGGAAAAGGAAAAGGAAAAGCGATGACGAACGAACCGGACCATTTTTTCCCCCTGGACCCCTCTCCTCTCTCTCTCTCTCTCTCTCCCTTCTCCACCAGCAGCATTGGTAGTAGCAGGTAGTTACAATCATATAGAATGGCGCGAAAGATTCAATATTAAATATATATATAAATATATATAAATATATATATAATATAAATAAAAAAAATTTTAAAAAAAAGGAAGGAAAGAAAGAAGATGAATAAGAGGGGAAATAAGTATTCCCGATAACGCGTCAACTAAGAGAGAAGGGTAAGATGAATAAATAATAACGATGACGATAACGCCAAGAACTGTGGCAGGAAACAAGAGAATAATGAGAAGATGAAAACAAGATAGAATAACAAACCCCAACCCCGATGGAGATGTAGGAAAGAAAACGGGAGATGAGCAGCTAGTGCCTGTTGATCATCTGATTGACAAAACAGGGCGGGACAAACTGACGGGATTTTTTTTCTTGGTGTTTTTTTTTTTAAAAAAAAAAATTACATGTACGAGTAACAAGGAGGATTTCTCTCTCCCCAAGAGGCTTTCTTTTTTCACTCCCCCCCTCTCTCTCTCTTGCATGTTAAGGAATTATTCATGATTACGTATGTAGTCATGCTCCTCAGTTTCCATCCTCCTTTTCAGATAAAGCGCATTGTTATTACTTGTACTATTTTGTGGGTTCGGATGGAGAAGGGGAGAAGAGAAGAGAAGAGAGAGAGAGAGAGAGAGAGAGAGAGAAAACAAAGAGGAAGAGAAAATAAAGAAAGGAAAAGAAGAAAAGACATGTCTTGCCTTCCCCCCGCCCCGCCCTCATGACAAGACCTTTTTTTCCCCCCCCAGGTTAGAGATCATATAGACTGTAGCATACATGACAAGCAAAAAAAAAAAAGCAAAAAAAAAAAAAGAGAGACCATCTTGGGTATAGTACCATGACAAGTTGACAGCTGGGAAAAAGAAAGAAAACGTTTGCTTTTTTTTCACTCTCTTTTTTCCTTTTTCTTTTTGCCTTCTTCTCGCCTCTCACTATACATCACCTTGCTTTGATGTCTTTGTCTTTTTCTTTTTTTCTTTTCCCTTTCTTCTCATATATAATATAGATTACTCCTCCGTTCATAGTCGATACAATACACATCAACCGCACGACGCCACACCGTAAGACAGGAAAGGTCCTTGCTTTTTTTTCATTCTTGGATTTTTATATTTTATTATCATTTTTCCTTCCCATTATGCTCCTTAAAGAAGCATCATCTTTCGATGTATGTGCATACGTGTAGGTATGTGATGTATGTTTTTTGTGAACAAGAATTGTCTTGGGGGGGGGGAGGAAACAGCGTGTCTCGGGTGACGTGGGGGTTTTAGAAACCCCCCCTCCTCAAGAAAAGCAAGATGATATAGAGTGAGAACCAGAAGAGAACGAAAGAGGAGGAGAAGAAGCAAAGTCCACACTGTACATTCAGTACATTTATCGGGTAAGAGAAATGGAGAGAAATGAGATGAAGTGAAAGGGGAAAAACAAAAAAAACAAAAAAAAGAGAGCAAGTATCGACGTCCGCAGAAAGGTCTCGGACAAGAAAATCAGAGAGTATAGAGATGACTCTTTTTTCTTAAATATATATACATATATATGTATATATATATATATAATATCATTACGATATCTAAAAAGATGCAACATGAAATGAGATAGAAAACAAACAAGCAAATACATAAAAATTCAACTACCAACTCCTACTTGTCCCGTGCGTCTTGAAATTAGTACAAGTCTCTCATCATAGGCATGTTGGAATGTTCGGGTGGCGAGACACGGTAGATGAGGAGACACACGAGACTAGGTGAGATCCGAGCCTGGTATGTCATCATGTTACACAGGATACTGGTGGTTGGATATGCACGGTATCAATCGTCTTTACCGAGCAGAAGAGAGGGTGTGTCTGTGAGTGAGAGGGAGAGAGGGAGGGTGAGTATGAGAGAGGGAGGGTGAGTATGAGAGAGGGAGGGTGAGTATGAGAGAGGGAGGGTGAGTATGAGAGAGAAGAGAGAGAGAGAGAGTAAGAGTAAGAGTAAGAGAGTGAGTATAAGAGAGAAGAGTGAGTATAAGAGAGAAGAGAGAGAGAGAGTAAGAGTAAGAGAGAAGGTGTGTACATGTGGTAGAGTAAGAGAGGAAAGTGTGTGAGAGTAAGAAGTAAGAGAATGAGAGAGGGAGAGGCAAGAAAGCAGCATCCGTCAGAGAGGGGATATGTCATCATGCCTCGACAGGCTGGCCACTCGACTGCAAGAAAAGACCTGGCCAAATCGCTGCGGATGGTTTGAAAATGACATTGCAATTATGCCGATCACGTCCATGTACGTTGCATGAGTTGATGAGGGGTGTATGGTGTATGGGAGGGGGTTTTATTTTATTTTATTTTATTTTTTTACGGCATCTCAATCTGAACGAGGTGAGAAAAGAAGAAGAAAAAGGAGAGTGAGAAAAAGAGAGAAAATGAAAGAAAAGAGAAAGAAGAAGAAAAAAAGTCAACGTCACACACACACAGTAGAGGTGACGAGACGGAGAATCTCACAATCGTGCAGAACACGAGTAGAAGAAAGATGTCGTCATCCATCATACACACATACATGCACACACACACACACACACACACACACACACACACACATACACACATACATACAGACACACATACACGCACACGATATATATACACAACTGTAAAGAGTAATCTTATTACGCCGCACCTAGTAAAGAAATCCCCAACCTCCAACTTCACCCTTACATTAAATAGGGGGTATATGTATATTGTTTCTTCTCACAATCCACCACGCATCCCAAGCTATATGAATTTCCCCGCGGCCAAAAAAAAAAAAAAGAAAAGAAAAGGGAATGAGGTAGTATGTAAAGAGGTTATTCTCAAGATCCGATATACACAGTCTCCCAGTCCATCTGTGCGAGGTGAGGAGGGGAGTGGGACGGAGAGAAGAGAGAAGACGAGAAGAAATAGAGCATGACAATGCAGAGAGAGTTGTGCTTCTATGATGAGAATCGAATAAAATGGTAAAAAGGGTACAGAAGTTGATGAAGAAGAAGAGACGGTCGTCGTTAAGATTTTTTTATCGGAACGATATGAAAAAAAAGGAAGAATGGGAAGGACAGAAAAGATGAACGGAAAAAAAAAAAAAGGGAAGGGGGGGAATAAATACTGGAGAGTTGAACATGGTCCAAGCAATGCCGTCGCTCAAAACAAAGGGTCTCTAGAGATTTTTTTTCTTCTCTTTTTATAGAAGAAGAGAGAGTAAAATTTCAATCCTGGAAAGAAAAGAGGAAGAAGAAGAAGAAGAAGAAGAAGAAGAAGAAGAAGAGAGAAGAGAGAACGCCAGACGCTAAATCCCTGAGGAAGAGAGAGAGAGAGAGAGAGAGAGTTAGACCCTTGGTGCGGGAGATCGACCTTGGGCCAGAGATCCGAATAGCTCGTTGGGAGGGATCCTCTTCATACCGCTACCACGATCATACATGGAAGTGGGGGCCGGTATGTATCCCTCGCGCTTCTTGCGGATGCGGTCCAGGGCGATGCCCGCCGCCACCATGAGCAGGATGAGAGCCAGCGAGATGCCCAGCCCGATGAGGACGACGAAGCCGAGCGCCATGTGGTCGTCGGTCGACGAGAAGAAGTAGTTACGCTCCGAGAAGATCTTGGCGATGCTGCCCGGCTTGCTCGTCGAGCTCGTCGTCATCGCGTACGGCTGCAGGCCCGTGCCGTTGTAGATGGCCGCCGACGCCATGCCGAAGTCGGCCAGGTTGAGGGACCCTGTCAGCATGAGCACCTGGTCCCTGCCCAGCACCGCGCTGTCGCCGTGATCCTTGGTCACCGTCAGCACCTGCAGGCTGCGCAGCACGCTGCCCGACCCCAGCGAGTGGTTGGCCGTGTGCCAGGAGGATCCGTCGTACTTCATCAGGAACGGCGACCCGTCCGTCCGAGACTCGCCCGCCACCCAGATCTGGTCATTGTCCGTCGACCCGGGCGTCACCGCGTACACCGGGCCGGGCAGCGCGTCCGCCCCCGGGAACTCCTCCCACGACTCGTCGTCGGCCTCGTACACCGCCAGCGACGTCCTGCCCGAGCCCCTCTCCAGGTCGCCGGCCACGAGCAGCGTCTTCCTGCTCGTCCACATGAGGGCCCGCACGTCACCGCCCACGCCGCTGCCCGGCCGCACCCACCGAGACGTGTCTGCGCTGTAGAGGCAGAAGCCGGGGCAGTCCAGCGCGCCGGCCTTGGTGAAGTCTCCGCCGACGTACACCTCCGACTCCCTGCCGGGACGGACGCTGATGGCCGACACCGTGGCGTTGCCGCCCGAGACGGACGACGGCTGCGTGCCGAGCCGGTGGCTGCCGAGGTCGTAGGCGATGATGCCGCCCACCTCGAGGTCGGAGCCGTTGCCGCTGACGCTTCCGCCGGCGTAGAGGGTGCTGCCGCCGATGTCCAGCGCGGCAAAGGTCGAGTCCGCCGAGATGTCGCCGCCGAGCCCGTAGACCTTGTCGCCGTCCTCGCCGTCGATGATGATCAGGTTGTCGATGGCCGAGCCGTTGCTGGACCGGGCGGAGAAGTGGCCGGCCAGGATGGTGACATTGCGGCCGTCGTCGTTGTTGAACAGGCCAGTCACCACGCCGGAGATGCCTCCCCGGATGGAGACGTCGCGACGTCCGAGCTCCGACGTGGGCGACTCTGCCCGGAGGTCGGCCGGGAACTGTCCCAGACCGTCGTCGTGGAGCGTGGCGGCGCCGTTGGCGCCCATCTGGGCCGACGTCACCGACCCGGCGTAGAGCATCTCGCCGTCGCCGAGGTCCGTGAGCGTCGCCGTGAGCGTTCCGCTGTAGCTCGGCACCGGTCCGTCCAGGTTCTGCAGCCAGTTCTCCTCGGAGGGGATCCAGATGGCCAGGCCGTCGACGGGCACGGCGTCGCCGCCGTCGAAGCCATTGATCCGCGTGAAGCTTCCGGTGAAGGCGACGGCCGTCTCGGGTCCGCCGCCGGTGAGGTTGACCTGGAGCGGCACCACGTACTGGACCGGGCCGTCGACCCCGGCGCCGAGGGCACCCCAGGAGTCGCCCTCGACATCGTAGACGGCGACGTGGTCCATACCGTCTACGGCCTCGGTCTGGGTGTTGCCGAACCCTCCGCCGACGTACAGCTTGCCGTCGACGAGGAGCATGCCCGTCACCTCGCCGTCGAGGCCGCCGTCGAGGCGGCTGACCTTGCCGTCGTCGTCGATGGCCACGATGTTCTCGTGGCTCTTGGATGTGAAGTTGCCGCCGACGTACGTGACCTTGTCCGAGGTGAGCAGCGTCTTGACGCCGGTGTCGTCATCGAAGCTGGCTCCGAGCTTGTTGACGGGCGACGTCTCGAGGCTGGACGTGTCGAGCTCGGACTGGGACGGGTCGAAGTCGTAGAGGCCGTTGAGGCCGCCCGTCGAGTTCATGAGGATGAAGCCGACCCTCAGGGCAACGACGATGGACCCGTCGTCGTCGTCCATGGGCGACAGGGTGACGCTGGGCTGGAAGGCGTCCGACGTCTTCTCGATGTAGCCAAAGTAGATCTGGTCGTACTTGTCAAAGTCGTTTGTCTGATAGATCGTCTCGACGAAGCTGTCGTCGCCATCGTCGGCCGACGACATGGTTCCCGTGACGTTGACGCGGCCTCGCCTCTCGCAGGTGCCGTCCGGCTGGCAGCCGGGCGTGTACATGTTGACCGTGTAATTTCCAGACTCCCGGATGTTGGGCTTGAAGACGACAGAGCTGGAGCGGGACGCGCCCGAGGAGCCGAGGTCGAGAGTCAGGTAGCCAGAGCTGCTCTGGAGAGAGGGAGACACCTCCCAAGGACCGGTCCTGGATGCCGAGGACGGGTTGCTGACGCTCCGGCACGCAGGCTCGTTGAAATCGCTGACGGCATAGGCGAAGATGTCGTCTTGGAAGAGCTCGACGCCGTCGAGGCCGGCGCCGTCGCCGTACCATTCGGATATGGCGATCCGGAAGTGATCCATGCCGACCTTGTTGACGAAGTGGAAGTCCTGGTACTGGATATCGGCGTCGTGGCTGAGGGGACACTCGCTGGTGCAGGTCTTGTTGGTGCCGCTGGCGGGGTCGATGTAGGTGAGGTTCATGATGCCGTTGATGGGGAAGGCGACGAATCGGAACGTCTTGGTGCCGCGGCCGTCCTGGTGGGTGTTGCGCAGGCGCAGCTTGGTGGGCTGGAAGCCGAAGCCGAAGTCTGCGTCCCAGGCGGCAGGCACGCCGTCCTGGGCGAGCCAGGTGGTGCCGTTGGACTCGCTGGAGCAGACAAGGCTGGCGGGGTTGCCGAATCCGTCGTCGCCGGAGCTGTTCTCGGCCGTGATGTTGGCCGTCGACAGGTTGACGGTCTGCCCGTCGGGCTCGCTGGGGGCGCTGGCGTTTCCCAGACCGGTGAAGCTTCCTCCGAAGATGATGTGGCCATTGGCGGCCTTGGTGATGGCCTCGACGGGGCCGTTGAAGCCGGCAAACGGCAGCTTCTTCAGGCCCTCCGTATCGTAGGCGATGGCATTGCTCGAGTCAGCAGTCTTGAAGTTCCCACCAACGTAGACCGTCTCCCTCTCATCATCGCAGTACAGGGCGTCGACCTGGCCCTCGAGGCCATCCACGGGCGTGACCTTGCCCGTGTTCGGATCGTACAGCGCGATGGAGGTCGACTGCGTGCCGTCCAGGCTGGTGAAGTTTCCGCCGATGACGACACCTTTGACATCGCCGTCGCTGGATTTGAAGGTGCACATTGCCTCTATCGAGGCATCGGTCGAGACGATCGAGGTGAGGGCGCCGTTGGGCAGCATGGCGAGGAGGGATTCGCTCCCGTTGCTGCTGGGGGGCCTTCCGGTCTGCCCCTCATACTCGTAGAGCGAGATGCCGGTAAAGTCGCCGGCGATGCCTATCCTGCCCAGGTTGGAGAAGTCGAGGTTGGCGTCGGGGGCGGGTCTGAAGTCGAGCGCGTGCGCTACTGCCGGGACGAATGACGCAATGAGACCGATGGCTGCGCCTAACTTCTGCTCGAGTCGTGGCGCCCGATGGCGCTGCCGTTGTGATATCCGCATTGTCGTATGCGTTTCTGTGGGTGCGTGTGGGTGCGTGTGTGTGTGTTTCTGCTTGTGCGTCGCCGCGCTTTGTGCGGTCGACAGCTGAAGGCTTACGATGGAGAGAAGACAGGGGCTGGAGGAAGGAAGCGACCGAAGCAGCAAGCGTCGTGGTTCAGTTCAGTTCAGTTCGATAACGCTAGGGCGGTCGTCGGTGCGCTCGATGACTGATAGTTTGTGTGGATTCCAGACGGCATCGCAGTCTAGACGTTGACCATGGCAACCGACAGGAATTCAGCTGGAGGGGTGAGGAATTCTCCGGCAGTACCAGTTCAATACGAGAGCGGTTTTTTTTGAGGGGGGGGAGGCGGATTCGAGCAATCAATCGGCGGTTCGGTTTCCGTGTGTTTGTATCGGCGTGGCTAAGGTTTAGAAAATGAGAGACGGCGTCAGAAAGACGAGAAGACGGGGAAAAAAAATTGAGTGAATGACTGTCAAATTAAAAATGAGAGAAGGACTAGTCTGCGAATTAGTAGAATCTCGACGAGTCACGATTGTCGGCCGCGACGTCAGAATTGTCAATAGTCAAAGATAAAGACAGAGTGAGAGAGAGAAGGAGGGAGGGAGGGAGGGAGAGAGGAGAAGACTGGAGAAAGAGGCCATTGGGGGAGGGAAGACAGCAGAAACGTGCACTTAACCCCCCCGTAACAAACGTAACAGTGCCTGCGGCAGGTGCAGTTTAGAGCAGATACGAGTCTATTACAGTGGGAGAGACCCCATTGGACCCCCCGTTCTTCACGTCGGGGGGGGGGGGGGGGGGGGGGGG